TGGCTGTTGGAGGTGGAAACTTTGGCAGCCACAAGTAAGCATTTTTCCTTTAATCTTTCAATGGGATGATGGTGGTGGTGAGGACGTGGGTTCTCATATCCTTCTTTTTTTTGGTGCCTGTTAATGAAACCAGTGGTAGTCAGAATAATCAGTGCCAATAACTTTGGGGGACTTGTCATTCTCTTACAGCTAAGTGCATCAGCTCTTGGATCTGATGGCTTTAGTACTTGTTGTGATCAAGCCCTGTTGTTGTAATTTGATGATTATATTAACAATTGATGGCTGTGTAATGAAGAGAGAGTTGTAACAGAATAATAGAAAATCAGGGATGGAGGAAATCTCAGGATATCATCTAATTTAGCCCCCTGCTCATGGCAGAATCACCCATACCTAAATGATTACTGTCAGAAATGTATCTACCTTAATATTTTTATTTGATTATTTTCCTCTGATGACAGAGGTTACATGGCTTCGATAGGTAAACCAGTCCTGTACTTAAATATCCCTCCAATTTAATTTTTTTCCCTAATATCTAACCTAGATCTCCCTTGTTCCGTGTTAATCACATTACTGTATCTCCAGGGGAGATGGAGAACAGTTTGTAACCTTCCTTCCTGCAGTATTTTTTTTACATTTGAAGACTGCTAACATGTCTGTCCTTGGCCTTCTCTTGTTTGAGCAAATAACTCTGTTATTTCAACCTTTCTTCATAGGTCATGACTTTCACACTTGTGTTCATTTTTTGTTGCTCTCCTTTGGCCCCTCTCCTTTCTTGAAGTGCGGTGCCCAAAATCAGATGCGCTTCTCTAGCTGAAGCCTAACCAGTGCTGAGTAGTGTAGAAAGATTACTTCTGATGCCTTACAAACAATCCTGAAGTTTATATATCCCAGTAGGTGCATCTACATGTGACAATAATGCACAGCAATAAACTCCGGTGCAGATCACACCAGAGTTTATTGTTTCCGGGCTCTGCATTTGAATGTGCACCTGGGAACACATCGTGTTGAGCCAGGTCAGTGCTGCCCCAGCTGGCAGGGGGCCCTGGGGTGGCACCCTGCCAGCCTGCAGCTACTGCGACCTGGCATAACGTGCTGCAGAAGGGCTGGCTGGGGCATGAGGATGCTCCATTGTGGGGCTAGCCAGCAGGCAGCCCCTGCGCTGAAGCACCCCCATGCCCCAGCCAGCCCCACCTGCATCTACGCATTCACTGTAGCAGAGTAAAAAACTCCACCGCCAGATAGTGCTTGTATTTACACATACTAACCTATACCAGAGTTAATTCGTTTACTCTGTCCTAATAGCACTGCAGGTTTAAATGCTTACTCCGGAGTTAATTAGGTAACTGCAGCAAACGTCTCGTGTAGATGCAGCCAGCATGGTGCTGGCTTTTTTTGAAACAGCATTATGCAACAATGCTTCAGTGGTGTGGGTGGGGGGAAAGGTATAGGAAAGAGAAGGACAGAAATAATGAAAGCAATTCAGTCACATAATATCAACAGAGAAATAAGGCTGGAGAGGCAGCGGATGGTATGATCCTACGCTGACTTAAACCAGCTGAAAATCAGGCTCGTTGGAAGTACTGGCACACACCGAAGGCCAGGATGAGGTTAATAATGCACTTGTCAAGTAAAATGTACGCTTCCAGATTTACTGCCGTGGTGTCCTCTGCTGCCAACCGTAAAACATTCATTGATTCAGTGATTGCTTTCCTTCGCAAGCACAAGTTTGATGGGCTGGACCTTGATTGGGAATTTCCAGCTTCCGGAGGAAGTCCTCCAGAGGATAAGCACCTCTTCACCATCCTGGTTCAGGTAAAACCTCTACAAGAGCATTTTGGGTCTGATTCTGAGCTCCCTGAAGTTGCTGTAGTGTTCAAAGTAGCTGCTGATGTCTACCCCCATAATAACAGGTATACCTGAAATGAGCTTCCTTTGGTCTTAAGGGATATGTAAGCACAAGCAGCCTTATGGGGATTGTGGAAATATCCACATCAAAAACAAAACACCTTCATGCCCATTAAATGAGTCTTTGTACTGAGATAGCAAACCCAGGCATTGTTCTTGTTCCCATTTCTAGGAAATGGTAGCAGCTTTTGCCAAGGAGGGTCAACAAACAGGACATCCAAGGCTGTTGCTTTCATCAGCTGTATCAGGCGTCAAAGGTATCATCGATACTGCATATGAAACTGCTGCACTAGGAAGGTAATTCAAATATTTTCTACAAGGTAGCCAAAACAGTACAACTTCCTGCCTCCAAGGATATAAACAGAAAGCTACAGATTGCATGGCACATTGTCTGTATTTTGCATTTATTCATACAGACCTAACTGCCACCAGGAGGTAATTATTCTGAAAAATAATTTGTAAAATATTCTGAAATTATTCTGGGTCTTTGTTTTCCTTTTTCCTATATATGTAAAAGAGTAATTCGATGGACTCAACCCCCAGGGTTAATTTGGATCTGAGTTCCATTCTAAAGCTTGTCGGCGGAGGAGGGTTAGCTAAAAGGTTACATTTGGACCCAAATCTACATTATATGTTCTAATTCGGTATCAGAAAATGACTCCGAAGCACTTCTATATTTGTCATGTATATCTGTGACCTCCCCAGTCCCATACCTCATTACCATGAGTGCTTTCAGACCCATACGCACCCCCAGAGCTAGAAAGTTCCCAATATTTAGGAACTGGATTTCTTCCCATGGCATTTTTGTTTGTTTTCAGGAGTCTCGATTTTATCAATGTGATGACCTACGACTTCCACGGTAGCTGGAGTTCAGTCACAGGACACAACAGTCCCCTGTACAAAGGCTCGAATGACAAAGTTCCCTTCTACAACGGTGTAAGAGAACAAACAACGGTGCAGGGCTGGATCCAAACCTCAGAGTCCTTCGATTGACTTCAGTGGGCCCACGGTCTTGTATTTGTCTAAGGTTAAGTCACTCAACAGTTAAGATATTTTTTGTTCCTGCTCTTACTGCTGTAGGCTTATGCTATGAAATACTGGGAAGACAATGGCGTCCCAGCTGAGAAGCTCCTCATGGGATTTCCGACGTATGGACGAACTTTCCGACTTTCTACTGGGAATACTGGGGTTGGTGCTCCTGCTTCTGGTCCTGGTGCTCCTGGTGCTTATACCCGATCAGCTGGTGTCTTGGCTTACTTTGAGGTAAACATGTTATGACCATTATATAGGGAACGTATTTGTACTTGTACATGACAGAAATTTGTGCTCAAGAATAGAGCTGTCAGTCGCTTCGAAATCCCTTTGATTTTCTGTCTTCCTAGCACAGTGAATCCGGCTGTTCATGACATCCTTTTTCCGGGTAGGTCTGCACATTTTTAAAAGGAACTACCACCAAATGGATTGAAGCACAAAAAGTCCCATACGCCTTCAAAGACAGAGAATGGGTTGGATATGACAATGAGAGGAGCTTTGAGATAAAGGTTAGTCCCTGTCATTTTTGTGTGACCTTCATTAGAGGGCCTGGAAAATAGAAAAGCACCACTCAGAAAGACCCCCTATAGATAAAGCAATGCAAACTTCCAGGCAAAGGCATAGAGCTGGTTCCTCAGGTGATGTAAATCAGGGTGGCCCAATGAAGTCAATGGAAATATATCAGTTGAGACTGGCTGGGGATCTGACTCCATCAGGGATGAAATCGTGATGTCGCTTATCTTGGAAGGAACGAAGTAGAGAGCCAGAGAGAAGGTATTTCCTGTATGTTTTTATAAGTGAAACTGCTCTAATGGGCTAAAGAAAATTTTGCAATAAAACCAGTATCACCTGTGGCAGGGGCTATATTGTAATGTAATTATAGAAGTCTGGCTGGAGTTAATGGGAGTTTAAGAGGAGCTTAACCTATTTTTGAACCAGTTATTCTCTAAGGTGCCGCCATGCCCAACCTTCTGCCATAGGAGATGAAGATGATTTTCCACATGTAGGCACACACGCACATAGGCAGAACCGACTTTAGTGACCTTTGCACACACATTTAACTGATGCCTGGCCTATAAGTCCTTAAAGATGATCCTTCTTTATGTATCATCTGCTCTCCCCCTTCCAGGGCTGGATCACTGCCTGAGGCACACTGCTATTTCATAGTTTCAGACTGCTGTGCGCAAAGTCTTATTTTCTTTTTCCGCAGGCCAACTTTATAAAGGAGCAGCATTATGGGGGTGCTATGGTTTGGGCTCTTGGCATGGATGACTTCTCTGGCTCTTTCTGTGGGGCAGGAGCCAACCCACTCCTAAAGAAGCTGAAGACTGTCCTTGGAAACTGAATGCCAAATCACTGGCCCAGGAAAGAGCACCGCCACAAAGGGAAAACACCTTATTTGTTATCTAGGGATGCAACCAAGGTTGACTCATCCCAAGGGCAGTTTTTCTTTTGACTTCAGACAATACTAGATCCTAGTGCAGACTGAACATCTGTGTTTCCTAATCTGCTTCTCTAGATCCAGATAGCTGCAAATAAATCTTGTGCTGATAAGGTCTATGAAGCATCAAGGGAAAGGTTGAGTTTCTACCTGAGTACTAGTAGGAGGACAGCCATTCCTTATGCATTCACTCTGATCTGGTCCCAGGTTCAAATGCTGCCACAGGCTATGAATTAACACTCTCATAAACCAGAGATAATTTTAACAACATATACCATATGACATGACAGGCCTAGAAACAAACCATTTCCTCCCCAAACTTTCAAACTCTTGATGTGGACTTGAACTTCCCAGCTAGCCCCTGGCTCCAGAACAGGCCACAACAAAATGCTGACTGCCCCTGAAGTTTCAGATATCTAGAGATGGAGCCATGTTAAAAGCTTCTGATTCTGTTTCATTAAATTAAATCACTCTGGCTACCCCCGTTTCTGTATTGTATCATTGCTGAGCGTTGGGCTTGCATTGGATGGGCCCTTGGAACCGTGGTTTAAAGTGTCTCTGAAAATGCTGTAACCTCCTGTAGGAAACACCCTTGAATTGCTTTCCATCACTAGTAAATGCAACCTACAGCAAGGTGACAGCTCCTGAATCCCTCCTGAGAGCCTGCGATGACTGCACAGGGTGAATTCCTTTCTGCTCTCTTTCCACCAGAAACGAAAGCCATTTTGTTATTTCATCAGAGCCTACTACAGGCATTCTTTGAAGTGACTGGCCTAAGTTACTGCTGGGAACAGGTCGTTGGACAGGCTACTGTTCTGATTAAGTGCAGCAATCCCTTGTTTCGCTTCCCAGACTAGCGGGGGTTAGGGGACCAAGCTCTCAGGGCCAAAGAGAATGGAGCTCCTCTGTGCATCTGATTTGAATTAGGAAAAGCTATTCTGAAGTAAAACTGGTTTCTGTCCTTGCATGGAAAGAGACAGCTCGCTGTGTTAGTGTGAAGGCAGGGCAGAGTGGCACCACAGAGACTTCAACCGAAGCTGAAGTATGCCATTGCCTATGAAAGCTTATGCCTCTCTGAACAGTGAGTCCAGCGGGACATAACCGGGAGCATCACAGTTAATAGGTGAACAGAACCATCTGCCGCTGGCAGGTGGAGTCAGTGATCTTTCCACTACCAATCTCCATCTCACGCACCCACTACGCACACAAAGATGTTGGAGAATGGTCTAAACTTGACAATGAGCAATTCTTAAAAAGCAGAATAACCCTGAAGATGCACAAATGGAAAGGTTGACCAGTGTCTCAGGAAGAAGTCTGATGCTGTATTCAGGGAAACAATCCATGGGAGAAGAGCTAAAAACAGGCTTGAGAGATTTAACTGGAAGGGTGAGGAGGAGATGCTCGGAGTAAGAAGCTATTCAGCTGTAGTATAAGCTCAGGTAGGCCAGTCGGTTCCGATGTTTCCTGAATTCTTTATCTGTAATGAACTAAAGTTAAAAAAAATAAAATATTGAGATACATCAGCATTCTTAAAACACTATGTTATGAAATAGCACTGAAAGCAATAAGCAAATTTACAAAGCCTCAGCCCGAGTCCTTAGGGGACCTCTACCAGCTGAGCTACAAGGTTAACTATTAGTTGTGGTTAGCAGTGGTAGGTTGTTATCCTTTACATGGAAGAGTCAATAAAAGGCAAGGTGCACATATCATGCATGCATTTCCTCTGGGATTACCCTACCCTATGTAACCTAATGTACTTTCCCCAGGTGTATTTTTTATTAGTTAGTCCATGCATATCTTAATGACAACTGCATTAGCAGTTCCTGCTTCCTTCCCTTGCTTCTAAGCTCTTGAGGGCTTGGATGTCTAGAATTTTTCCTCTTGTTTTTGCACGCAGCGTATGCAGCATGGTGTACAGTTTTTTTATATCATACAAGTACTGGGAAACAAGTCTACCTGCTCCATACAGATTTGGGGAATTTCAAAATGGTCCCATTTCATTGTGGGATAAAACAAATTAAAAAAAAAAATTAGGATGGAGAGAGACACTAGAATAAACCAATAACTTGGGAAGGCACTCATTTGGGGTGGGGGGACTCGGGGCTAGGGCCTGTGCTGAGTCTCCCTCATTTTGACCAGAAACCCCATCCTGGACTTAAGAAACCTCCTGATGACAGTCATTAAAAAATGATATATTCTCACAAACGGTGTCACTAGTGTCAGCATTCCCTCACTGAGTTCCTGCGTACAGAGGTATGTATGCAAGCTACCGGGGAAAGGATAAGGAAGGTCGGCATTCATCCGACTATCCATATGATTTCCTCTGTCTGATAACCTGATCAACCACGTCTTTTATCTCAAGTGCAGAGAGTAGCTCCCGAATGCTGTACCTCCGTTCTCAAAGTCCTCTGCTCTGGCACTGGTACTAACGACCAATCTGGGGAGCCAAACTTCATGGGCCAAGTGATTTTCTTGTGTGGCTGCTTGTCTGCTTCATAAGTTCCTGGTCTGAAAGAAGATGGATGCAAAACACATCTCATTTTAGCAGTCGAGTTTACACTTTGAAGAGAAGTGCCATGTGAATCCCTTGGCAGATTTGCATATAACCTGCTTTAGGAAATCTCGAGTAGCCATGAGGAAGTCCCTGGATATATCCCTCCTTTTATATATTTAACCCAATCTTTTAGGCAGGCTCAGTAAATCTCATTTCAATTTCATTTGGACATTTCAAATGCTTCAATAAAAGGGGATCCCTGCAGCAAATCCATAGTGGGAAGATGTTTGCAGATGATGATTTTAAAGTCACATGTGAAAACAATGGCCCACAAAAGAATGATGTGTGAAATGCATGAGAGAGGATCTGTTTGGTGCTATGAACATTTTCACTGTCTAAATAGAGTCTAAATAATCATATTTAAAAAATCAAAGAGTTTCTTCAGAGATTGCAGATACAAACCTGACAAAGGCTTGCTTGGTCCATGGCAATATGTAAGCCTGTTAGTTTTAATTTTCATCCTTTTCTGTTGCACTGTGCTTCTGTTTCCAGGAGTGGTTTTTTTTTCAGTTCACCATAACCTTACTATTTGTTTTTTGTGTGAACATGGGTAGTTCATAACTCTTCAGGGAGAGTGAATCATAAGACACAAACCTACCACATAGAACTGGTGCCCTCCATAATGCTCCATCGATAGACTTTAATGCTAATAGGGAACATCTATTCTGATCCCAATCTGGACTGGAGTTTTACTGACCTGTGCCAAAATGTGGAGTAGCTTAGTCCTGTGGTTGGACCAACACTTACATTTTATTTTATGAAAGAAAGAATTTGAGTCTGCTTCTCCTCTGCTTTGCACTTTGTGCATTTCATTTATACTGGGGTAAAAGAGGGAGCAAAATGCCAGAACTGGAGCACTTTGCATACATTTCAGTGATCAATTTAGGTTTAAAAAACTCCAGTAAGTGAAAAGCAAAGGGACATCAGACGCTTAACATTTAAACTCAGGTTTTTAGCAATCCATTGATTGGGCCTTTATGCTACGTTCTCTGCTGAAGATTGATAAGGGTTTCACTTCAGCAGTTTTCTTTCAGAGTAAGTCGGGTTGATTTATCCTTTCTTGGCGTTATTAGAACCTCACAAGGAGAGGTTCTCCTGTACCTTCCAAGGGTGGTTTTCAAAGTTATAAAGGGCAGTGAGGAACCTGCATGCTCGCATGATTGTGCCTTTGAAAATGTCCTTGTTTAGGTCTATGCTGGGTTTTTTTTAACCTTGTTACTAATGGAATGAGAAACCGATTTACTGTACCCAGGGAAAAGTTCTCTATCCAGGATCTTCTTTGGGAATCGTGGTGTCTTGATAGAAAAGGGGGCATACGCAGGCTGAAACTTTCGGGGTTTGCTCCACGATGACTGGTATGCTCCAGGGTCGGGATGCTTGCTCTATTTAGAAGGGATCAAATGATTAAAAACAAATGAACAAGAACACCCTAAAATGTTACTGCAATAAAATTCTGTACTGTGATAAAAATTGGACAGACATACCTCTGGCTGTTGCTGTGCAATTACAGCGCCCGTGTGTTTTAGCCAGCCCAAAGCACTGACAGCATAGTGTTGAAGGAAAATAGAGAAAGCTTGACTTACCTTGGAATCTGGTGCGAAACGTAGGGATGTCCTTGCTCCTATCACATAACCCTTGTTGCTCTCAGGTTTACGAGTCAAGGAGTACACCATGGTATTTTTCTGTGCATGAAAGGTAGATGTGTGCTCACTCAGTACCATTCAAGCCTAATTCATATGCATTGGGATCTTGGGCCATTGGCTACTAAAGTAAAGCTAAAAGCTCAGTACCATTCCAGATACCATCCACGTTTGTATGTGACCAGCCAGAGCTCTAACCACGGTTAGTCTTTTTCATAAAGGGAAGGCCTCTTTCTAATTCTCTTACTTGCAGGAGCAAGGATGGTCTTGCCACTACAGCATCTGAGTGGCACGCTGGAGAGATCTGGGTTTAGTGCCTGGCTGTGGCACAGACTGACAGAGGGGAGGTGCAAGGCTTACCCTATTTCCAGTTTAAAAAAAAGAGGACACCTGTTGGGGGGCAATGATATGCCTGTGCCCTACCACTCCCAAGTCACAGCCCCCCACTGCCAGCCCTGCTGCCCTTCACTCCCGACCCACAGTACCCCGCCCCCAGATCATGCTGGTGCCTCTTACTCCCGACCTGCAGCCTCCCCCTTCCCTGCTGATACCCCTCACTCCAGCCCCACAACCCCCTGGCACTGCCTGTGCCCCGTGCTCCTCACCCACAGTCCCCCACCTCCCTGGTGCCCCTCACTCCTAAGCCACAGCCCCCCAGCCCTGCCGGTGCCCCTCACTCCTTACCCACAGCCCCCTGCCACACCCAGCTCTGCTGCCCCCAAAGCCCGCTCCCCCCCACACCTCCTTCCCCTGCTGGAGGGGCAGGCACCTCCCCTGCCTTCCCGCCCTGCTGCCTTCCAGCCCCTGGATACCTTAGGTACTCACTCCCCTTGCACACCCATCCCCCCCACACAGACACCCACACCCCCACAGTCCCCAGCCCTGGCCCTCCAATCCTCCCAACCCCCCAACAGACTCCCCTGCCTGCAGGTGTCAGGGTGACACGGAGATGCACATGATGCCCCTGCCTTCAATCCCCTCCCACCACTCACCCCAGCCCCAAGCAGCTCCCTGCTGGGGCAAGCCCACAACTGCCGGGTAAAAAAACTGATGCTGAGCAGAGGCAAAGCAACATCCTGGACACTTGATATTTTAAAAATCCATCCGGACAGATACGGGAGGACCCAAAAAGAGGACATGTCTGGGAGAACTCAGACATATGATAACTGTAGAGGTGATGTCATTTCTTTGCATGCCTCAGTTTCCTTATCTGTAAAATGGGAAAAATAGTCCTGCCTTTGGTTTTTCTTGAGTGAACTTTTCAGGAACAAATGAGAACTGTGCAAGCTTTGATCCCATTGTTTTTCATTAACACTTGCTCAGATTCATCTGGGAAGCCCATTAGGTGTCTGTCTACATCCTAGTGCAGGTCTGAAGGGACTCCGGAAAATTGGATTTTGGCTCCTAGGTCACTTCACAAATGATACTCTTGTCTGTTTGGACAGTGCGTCTTCCAGGCTGGGAAGTCCCTCACTAAGCAGAGGTACAGTGCCAAGACCCAGAGACCCACAGTCGACTCACCTCATCGCTTTTGTAACAGCCTGGCCCCCGCCAGGGCTCTCCTCTGATGGGCACCAGATGGTTCCCCAGCCTGTCTCGAGCATAGTGAAGGGGGAAAATATTCCTGTCCTGACATGATCCAAAGGAGTTCCGCTTCTGCACATCTACAGGGGACAGGAAGAGCGAGGACGTGCATTAGAGTAAGGCCATGGGCACCTGCTGCAGCGCACAGGCAGCGATTTGTCCTTGGTGCTGGCCTGGTACCTCCCCTTCTTCCCCAGGGAGCAAACACCTCAGAATCCCCCAGCTAAGGCAGGGCATACGTCCTGCTTCTGGCTATTCCTTTGGGGTTTGTATTCGGGGTTGGGCAGGCACCGCTTGCCTTGGCTGCCGCCTGGGGTTGCATGTGCATCCCTGCCCAGCCTGGGGGACCACCCAGCGCGGCCATGCCCAGCTCTGCAACACCCAGCTCCTACTCACCTGTCAGCTCCCACTCCCAGATCATGCTGCCAGCTGTGTGTATGCATGGTTGCCATGGATGTGTGGGGGCGTGGCTTTGATGTGATGTCATCCTGGAGCTTTCAAGAGGCGGTCACTGCAGCGATGCCACAAGTCCTGTGAAAGGAAGGCTTGGTGCAGGCAGTTGCTTGTAGGGGATACGGGAGGACCCAAAAAGAGGACATGTCTGGGAGAACTCAGACATATGATAACTGTAGAGGTGATGTCATTTCTTTGCATGCCTCAGTTTCCTTATCTGTAAAATGGGAAAAATAGTCCTGCCTTTGGTTTTTCTTGAGTGAACTTTTCAGGAACAAATGAGAACTGTGCAAGCTTTGATCCCATTGTTTTTCATTAACACTTGCTCAGATTCATCTGGGAAGCCCATTAGGTGTCTGTCTACATCCTAGTGCAGGTCTGAAGGGACTCCGGAAAATTGGATTTTGGCTCCTAGGTCACTTCACAAATGATACTCTTGTCTGTTTGGACAGTGCGTCTTCCAGGCTGGGAAGTCCCTCACTAAGCAGAGGTACAGTGCCAAGACCCAGAGACCCACAGTCGACTCACCTCATCGCTTTTGTAACAGCCTGGCCCCCGCCAGGGCTCTCCTCTGATGGGCACCAGATGGTTCCCCAGCCTGTCTCGAGCATAGTGAAGGGGGAAAATATTCCTGTCCTGACATGATCCAAAGGAGTTCCGCTTCTGCACATCTACAGGGGACAGGAAGAGCGAGGACGTGCATTAGAGTAAGGCCATGGGCACCTGCTGCAGCGCACAGGCAGCGATTTGTCCTTGGTGCTGGCCTGGTACCTCCCCTTCTTCCCCAGGGAGCAAACACCTCAGAATCCCCCAGCTAAGGCAGGGCATACGTCCTGCTTCTGGCTATTCCTTTGGGGTTTGTATTCGGGGTTGGGCAGGCACCGCTTGCCTTGGCTGCCGCCTGGGGTTGCATGTGCATCCCTGCCCAGCCTGGGGGACCACCCAGCGCGGCCATGCCCAGCTCTGCAACACCCAGCTCCTACTCACCTGTCAGCTCCCACTCCCAGATCATGCTGCCAGCTGTGTGTATGCATGGTTGCCATGGATGTGTGGGGGCGTGGCTTTGATGTGATGTCATCCTGGAGCTTTCAAGAGGCGGTCACTGCAGCGATGCCACAAGTCCTGTGAAAGGAAGGCTTGGTGCAGGCAGTTGCTTGTAGGGCAATGGCAATGGCAATGGCAATGGCAATGGCTCTCCCAGGGCTTCCTCTTGAGCTCTTGCTTTTGCAGCTGCAGCGGCTGATCCTGCCACCCCCTGCACCTGGCACTGCACAGTTCCTGCTGGTGTGGAGATACTAGCACACCCATGGGATGAGCTGCTTTGCCCCTTGACGCAGCCGTCCCAACCTCTTGCACTGCCCCAAGCCATCAGGGGTCCTGATAGTCCTGTGTTTCATGTAGAGGGGCTCTGACTCATCTCCAGGGAACAGATTGTTGCACTGTGCTAGGGATGGGCATGGCTAGTGGGGGGGGGCATAAGTCTTGTGGGGGCCCATTGTCTTCCCCTAATTGCTCCTGCCTGCTCTAGCTCACACACACACACTCACTCCACTCCCTAACAGTTTAATTAACCTCACCTTGTCTGATCATCTCAACGGGCCTTTCACTAGCCCAGGTGAGCAGACTGCTGAACTTGCAGCTCTGTTTGTTCACAAGTCCCCTTGCACCCACTGTTTATTCAGCCACTGCCTGCTGCTGAGAAAGGAGGCTCTGCAAGTGGGATGTAGATGAGACTGTTATAGCTTTGCTTGGACCTGTTTCAGGTGAGCCTCAGATGTACAATTGCACAGGGCGTAGTTGATGGGCAGGGGATAGTGCAAGTCTGATCTTGAAAGGGGGGGAAAAAATTCAGTGTCCAGGGAAAGTACAAAATCAGATGAGAAGAGTTTTCAGCCAGATGAGCCTTCAGCAAGAGCATCAGAGCTTTGAAGGGGGGTGATTTCTTTTAGTTTTTTTCCCCAAGTTAAAATGAAAACTGTGCAGACAGCTTGCTTGCATGGAAAGAGAGTGTCTCAGACCAGCTCTGGTCACAATGTGCTATATTGCACTCATGACTAGGCTCTTTCCAAAGCATTTACTCTACAAATAGCCAAACGTTGCAATTTATTAATGAATGTTGTACATATTCAGGGATGGACTTTAGCATGCTTTGTTTGCTGATCATTGAATCGCATACTATAGCTGGATTTAAAGATAATCAACCAACAAAGATGTAGCGCTAAAGATAGGAGAGATGAAACATTATGTGTCGGGGCACTAAAGGGAGGCAGTATGTGGTCTGGGAGACATTTCCTACCTTTGCACAGGGTTGTTCAATTGGTGGGTGCATTGTTGGCAGGTTCTTTGAGTTTCTTCTAATGTAACAATTATTGTCCACTGATGTAGGCCAAGTGCTAGGTTAGCTGGACCAAACGGCTTGTTTTAGTATGGTAAATCTGCTGTTCAGGACATACTTCATTGCAGTGCAGAATAAGTGCCATGTAAGGCACAACTATATCCAGATTAATTTTGCAGAATAGAGCTGCGCCTACAGAAGTCTGGAACATGGCTGCACAGTTCCCATAGGAATAAGCTTGTGCACTGGCACAGTAATAAGCATGGATTAACTGGTAAAAAGAATCAGGCTGGCCATGACTTCCCTGCAAAATGATCCAATTGAATCTCTCTCTTCATGTTATACTGTCTGCTTCCCCTCTATAACACAGCCACCATATCGCCAAAGAGACCTGAATGGAGAGCTGGTGGATTGATAGTGGTGGACCTCTCTATCCTTCCCTCGTAGTACAGTAGACACCCTTTTCTACCTCTCTAGCAAATACTCCTGAAACTGTGGAAAGTGGAGACCTAAGAGAGTAGTGTACAATATAAACACCAACTTTGCAGTGCACAGGTTCTCATACTGCAGTGCTTATACATCAAACAGCCCTAATTAAAATGTATGTGCATTACAGCTTGAGTGATTTATTAATGGATTGATCTGTTGACTCTTACTAGAGAGAATGTATAGAGCAGATATCATCATTAGAGTGCGATGGTTGATACAAGGGAAACCAGAGATTATCCTGAACTCAGTAACTTGGTTGATGCTCTGCTTTATTCACAATTCTCCTTGAAGTCAAAGGGTAGTTGTGACTGACTTCAGTGACTGATGTAGTTAGCAATGTTAGTCTGAAGTCAGTTGACTTCAAGGACTGGCTACCATGGGATGAGGAATAGGCTATGAGTAAGTGCTGTAAGTGGGGTTTGCTGGTTCAAATTATAAATGGGTTAGTGGGGGAATACACAGAATTTAATGCCAGTCACTGCCCCTGGAGCCCAAAGAAATCCCAGATGAGTTAACAAACCACAGTGTGCACAGCTATTGATTTTGCAGATTATTTTATTTCATCCTTACTACTTGCTATAATCTCAATCGGATTAGAACAGTTAATTAGTTATCTCACAATCCTGATCCACTCATGCCCAGGTGCAGCAGGAGCAGCTGGCATCAAAGACAAGACCGGCCTGGCAATGCTGGAGATAGGTTTGCCCATTCAAGCACTGGTAGAAGCTGTTCTGGTCACTTTGGTCTGGGTAAAGGCCGTTAGCCCTGCCAGCGCAAAAGCCACTGCCACCAGAGCTCCCGCTGCCACTGCTGCTGCCACTTCCGCTGCTGGGAGCCTGAGTGACTGGAGGAAGGGGCTGAGCAGGGGCTGAGCAGCCTGAAATAAAAGCAGATAATGTTCAGGAGTCCTCGGTTCACTCTTAATTGTTCTTGGTTTGGGATGATCATAAAACCATAGGGAACCAGGACTGGAAGGGACCTCCATAGGTCATCTAGTCCAATCCCCTGCCTGAGGCAGGATCATCCCTATCCAAACCATCCTATACACCCTCCGCTTGTCTCTAAATACCCCCCGCTCCCACCCCCAGGCAACCACAGTACCAACTATTTGTGCACAGATTGAGATCCAAGTCCTGAATGTCAGCTCCTGATTTCATGCTCCTCAAAGTTGGGCTAAACTCAGATTCTGGTTCCTGGTCATCCAGTATAAAGAGGAACACACAGGCTCTGGCATTCGGATGTAGATGCAGACTCATGTTCATGATCCAGACTCTTCCCAACATTTATCCGGACAACAGATCTTTGTTCGGGTCAATCTCCAGTGGCTTTCACAGAGATTTTTTTTTTTACCAGCGATGCATCTGGACTCTCAAAGTCCTACACAACTACACCTGAGGCCAGATCACCAGCAGCCACTTCATTTCCAGTCCTAGGATCTCGTGTAATTCTAATAATGCCACTTTGCTGTGCTGCTCTCAAGGTCCATGACAATCCCTTACCAATGTGCCCTGCCCCTGACCTGTGACAATTCCTGTTTTCATAAACCTACATTTTCCACCTGGCTCTGCTAGAGCCCTAGATAGTCTCTTGTGTCTATCTTGTTACTCCTGACAGTGTGGCTATTATGGGTGCACTGCATCAGGTTGGAAACAACATTTATACACTTCTTCTCACTTTCTCTTTATCATCTAGGTCTCGGGAAATGTGGTGAATTTTCTAATACTCACCAGAGCTCTGCAGTCCCAGGCTGTTCTTCAGGGTGGTGATCAAGGGGTATTTGCCCTGGCCACAGAAACTGCCAGTAAAGTCATCCAGGTCAAGGGTCCAAACCATAGCGCCTCCAAAGTTGTTCTTCTTCAACCAATCAACCTGTTAGGTGCCAGGACAGAAGCCAACATCAGTCTAGACAGTACTGTAAAATGAGCTGAAATAGCTCTGGTTAGATTGCTGTGAAGAGTCAAGACTTACCTTGATCTGAAAGCTCTTCTGGTTGTCATAGCCCAACCACTCATTGCCGCTGTAAGCGTAGGGCACATCCTGAGGGGTGTCCCAAGCCTGGGTGGCTCCGTTCTTCAGGAAGGTGCAGATCTAAGAAAAGGGGAAGATGTGATGTTTTAAGAAATGCCTTGTAAAGTACAGCAATTTCCAACCATTACAGTTGCTTTGATTTACTCAGCAGATCTCATGTTAGAACCGTGGTCAATGCCTGTGTGATCTGGTGGAGCACATACCTCATAGTAAGCCAGGAAGCCGGTTTGCTTTGTGTACGGTCCAGCAGGCCCAGGTCCTGATGTCGGAGCACCAACGGCAGTGTTGGAGGGGTTGCTCAGGAGGTAGGTGTGTCCGTAGGTTGGGAATCCAACAACGAGCTTCTCAGCGGGCGCACCATTGCTCTTCCAGTAGTTCATAGCATACTCCTGGAAAACAACAGGTGAATCAAGGCCTCCCCAGAGATTTGTCAGCTGAAACATCAGTGCCCACCACTGTGCATTTCTCCAAGCTTTCTTCGTTGTAGACTTTACTGGTCTCTGTCCCCAAGGTCTCAAGATGCACTTACCACATTGTAGTAGATGTAGCTGCCTTGGTCAGCAGGTCCTTGGTAGAGAGGGCTGTTCTCTCCAGTGTATCCTTCCCAAGAGCCATGGAAGTCATATGTCATCACATGGAAGTAGTCAAGGTACCTGTGGGGGAGCAGTGTGAACATCCATCCACAGTGCATTTTGAATCTCTGGCTCCCTGGGGTGATGCAGGTCATGTTCCCACTTCCTGCATGCATGGCTTCTTCACCATCTCTTTTGCATGACATGGGTGCCCCTCTTTGGGTCTTGTACATGCCAGTGATAGACTGAGATTGAAATCTGAGTCCTGAGGAGTGCTTAAAGCCAGGTGGTAATGCATGGATCAAGTATCTAACCCTTCAGACGAAGTGCATAGACAAGACTGTGGACAACCCAATGACTTCCAGTGTCTGGATGGAGATCCTTGTGTTGCTGTCTCCCTTATTTATTTTTTGAACTAGACTGTGCCTATCACACACAAAGCAGAATTCTGCCTCCTAATAGTCACAATGCTTATAAAAACAGGTTAAATTCTGGCCTACATACCAGTGGTAAGGTACTGCTATGCTTTGGGTTTGCTATTAGGGATGAGAAGTGGCCAGCTTTTCTAAAAGCACACCATGGGAAAGCACAGTACTCACTGGCCCAGCTCAGCAATCTGGTAGCCACCCTGAATGTTGGAAAGCCCTCCAGCAACAGCAGCAGTGATCAGGAGTCTTGGTTTGTTAACTTGCTTGGCTTCCTGCTCGAAGGCTTCCAGTATTTCCTAAGGAAAGGCAAGGAAACACTTAGCTGTTGGAAACCCCCAGACTGAGACTCCCGCACTCTGACTCATATGACCCGGACTCCCTTCCCCTAGCTCCAGTTCACATTCTTGAGGACCTGCGCAACCTTTCCAACCAAAAGAAAGCTGTCTGCATGCAGGGAGATGAGCTGGAGTGGGGAGGAACTCAGGACATTTGACTGCCCACGGGAGGAAGTTTTTTATCCCTCCACTGAAGGAGGCTCTTCATTGAAGACTGTCCCAAAATTATGCTGGTCAATGCTTTCAGCTATCTTAGGTTGAGCATCCCATATTTTGGCCCAGCCAGCATACATATTGGCTGGGGATATATATATATTGTATCACAGTGAATTATGCTGCCCTGAACTTAAAGCAATACCTTTCCTTCTGGTACTCGCATGAAAAGGAGACATGTCTCTTATCTGAAATCAGCAGATTTCTTTGACTCCAGATTATTTCTGATCTAGCCAGCAACGGGTTTCGTGCCTGCTGTGCATTATCTAGTTGGTCATTCCCGATGATTGTCCAGCTAGTAGCAATCCCTCAGCAAACATCTAGTTTCCTCAATACCTTAATCAGCACGGTGAAGAGTTGCTTGTCCTGAGCTGGGCTGCCTCTGGCGCCAGGGTATTCCCAGTCAATGTCCAGCCCATCAAAATCATACTGGCGCAGGAATTTGATAGCGGAGTTAATGAAGGTCTGGCGGTTGGCAGAACTGGCCACCATGGCTGAGAATCTAGGGAAGCAGGGGAGATGAGAGTCAGGGGAAGTGGCTGCTGGTTGTTTCCTGCAGTCGCAGCCATAGGAGGATGCAGCCAGGGGAAGGGGATGGTTTGGCCTTACTTTGCTGTTCCAAAATTCCAGCCTCCGATGGACAGGAGAGTCTTCAGGTTGGAGTTCCTAGAAAGGAAGGATAAAGCACGGTGTGACATTTATATGGTTGTATAGTTTGTTTGGATGTTACAAATTGAAAGGTTTTCTTTGGATAGGTTTTTTGTCTGGCAGGAAAAGCATTAATGGCTGAATTGCAGAGGGGTTGAGTGTAGCCTGGATAATTGTACTATTTTCTCGGCATGCTCCTGAGACCTCCGGCTCTTTCTAGAGTTGGGGGGTGGAGTTGGAAGGAGATGTATGCCACAGAACTGAAGGATGCACGTGCCCATGTGTGCCTGCGTGCCTGAGTGCCTGCCAGGCTGCTGGATCCAGGGGAGCCTGCCGGTGTGAAGCCCCAAGAGTGGAGACAGAGAGTCTGCCACGTGGGGACTGCAGCAGAGAAGCCCAGAGCAGTGGGGCAGAGGTAACCTCTGGGGGAAGCAGAGAAGCTGAGACCTCTGGGGAAGAGGAGGAGCTCACTGCAGAGATGGTGAGGACTGTTGCCTGCCACTGGAACTACCTGTGGGCTGTAAAGTAAGCCCTAGCCAGGAGTGAGAGTGAAAAGTGCTAGGAGATAGCGTGTTTTATATCTTTATATTATAGTCTGTCTTTCCCAGCTCCGTTGCTGTGTTTTCCCTAATTATTAAAGTGTGGGTTTATTTTATTCCTATATTTAGTGTCCTGTAACTGGGTATCTCACTTACATGGAATTTGTACCTTCATGGCATTGGATGACTTGGGGTCCCATCACACATGGGTTTCAGAGTTAATAGATTCATAGATTGTAAGGCTGGAAGGGACCTCGGAAGATCATCGGGTCCAGCCCCCTGCACCAAGCAGGAAAGATAACTGGGGGGCAGGTGACCCCAGTAAGGTGACTGTCTAGTCTCCTCTTGAAGATGTATCAGCTTCTTTTGCATCTCATTGGATGGACCAACATAAATGACTACTCTTGTGCTGCCCTTAAAAACATGACTTACTACCCTCTTTAGACTCTTCCCTGGTTATGTTGGCATGTGGGACAAGGCAAGACTAGCTCACTTGAGTGCATGGTGGATCAGTACTGGTGCCCTGATGTACTCTCTTCTTTTCTGCCTCTCTCTCCAACCTCCTGGTGGAGACAGCTCCCATGGTAGATAGGATTGCTATGTACAGGAGAGCTGTTTGTTTTGTGACTTAATAACTTGTAAGAAGCAGGATATTGGATTCCCCTTTACTTTAGATACCTACTGGTTTTTCAGGCCATTGAAGGATTGGTAAAGGGTCACGTCATTCCACTCGATGGTTGTGATCTCATTGTTGGTCATTCCAGCAAAGGCATAGAGCAGGTGAGTACACAGGCATGGGTCAATGTCCTTTGGGAAGTATTTCCCTGAGCCTTGTCTGTATTGGCCCCAGTTGGAGAAATAGCATGAAAGCACATAGGCAGAGCCTGCAGAGAAGAGCGGGAGGGAAGTTTGATGTGAAAATCCAAATAAAATAATAGCCTCCATCTCTTTAAAAACCTGGTGTGCATTCCCCTACCTTTACTCAAGAGGGAATAAATACCAGTTGGACCCAAGCACTTGATTTTCACGGTCCTGTTTTTTTGGACTCAGAGATAATGCTCATGACCTGGGTTGTATGACAAATTCATTAAACTAATATGGACATGGTTTAGAGGAGCTGGTACTACCTGACCTGTGCAATGTTTCTTTATGTTCCAAGAAATCCCTAATAGTTTAACATGGGTGTTTCATCCATTATGGGCACATCTACATGTGCCCTAGGACACTGTTGTTATTGCACCATCATTTAGAAACCTTTTGGAAGTACTAAAAGATGGTGCAGGAACTGCCCATACTGCACCGTGCCACCAGCAGATGGTGACTTTTAGCCACCTCATTGCTGTAACGATGCGCTATACTGAGTGCATTGCTATGGCAACATAGCTGCGGCATCATGGTTTTTGCCCACAGACGCTACGTCGCCATAGTGTGTTGTTACGGTGACGTAGCGTCACGTGTAGATGCACCTAGTGAGTTGGCAATCCAAGGAAATGTTTTATTTAATTTTTCTTCTACTTTTTTACTTTATTAAACATTTGACTTGAGACACCTATTGCATAAACTAAGACTCGTGCTTTACAATTTGTTCAGCTCTACCGCATGTCTGAGAGTCAGAAAATGCAGTCTATATTTCTTTCCAAATGGTAGATTACTTGTGTTGGTTCTGCAATACAATACAGAAATGACTGAAGCCATCGGAGATTTTTAAAAGCCCTTTCTAGTTTGTCGGTGATACTCATTTCTTGGATTACTTTATCTTGAACTTAGGAGGAAAATATTCAGTACTCTAGTGCCTTATAAAAAGCATATGACTTGTCTGGGGTTTTAGTACCAATTTTCCATACCAGAAATACTTTACCTCTAAAAATAGCATGGAGTCAATTGAAAAATGTTTGCCTTTAGAAAGGTCTGTCTGTCTATGCTTCTGTCTATGTAATCATATTATAAGTTCTTTAAAAGAATGAACTAAAATATTATTATAAAATGAGATTTGTATGTGAATAGGAGCACATACCTATTTGTGCATTCAACAGGAACACCAAACCTTTAGAGAGAAAGAGAATAATTAGAACATTAAACCTGGAAATATGCAACTCTCTAGTGATGCCAACTCACACAATATCTCATGCACGGTGGGATACCATGGTAGTGAGCATATTGATTCTTTTTTTTTTATGGCAAATGCAGCTTTTGTGTCGTCATGTCCTGCTACTGTATTTCACAATTTAGCAATCGCTGGACACGCACTGAGACTGCTCCTTTAATGATAATAGGATTCTTGGGGCCAATATCCCTGTCTTCAAAAACAATAATTCTTATTTTGTCTGGGTTTTTTTTAGATTTACCATAATCGAGGAAGTTTATAGAAGGCTCTTCGCCCTCTAATAATAATATGCTAACCACTCCTTCTAAATGTCTGCCGATTAATGAATAAAAGACACGTAGCAGGGGTGTTGGTTGTAGCCGTGTTGGTCTAAGGACATAGGCAGGCAAGGCTCTTTGGGTAGATGTGATATCGTTCATTAGACCAACTAAATAGTTGGAAAAATGTTCTTTGCAAGTTTTCGAGCACAAACGCCCTTCTTCAGGCATTGGGAGACTGCTGCTGTTCTGAGTTCTCCAAGGTAGAAAAGAAGCTAGAGTAACTCTTTACATGCATACTTGCTGGGATCCTTTGACCCCAGCTGACTTCCTGCCCTTGGGGAAGCGGGGCTGGACTCAATGATCTCCCAAGATCCCTTCCAGCCCTAATGTCTGTGAAATCTATGAAAGCTGTGACATTTTGAAAGACGTTATACTAAGATTAGATGGTTTAAAGTAGTAGTAAAAAAAATGAAGTTCTGGGGCAGTAAAAAGGGTGTGTGAATTTGCATGCCATTTGGCATAGCGCCATCCTTGAAAAATAATAAAAAATCCAAGGATTTCAAAATGTAACGTTTTTCAAATTGTCTTTTCAAACTGATCTTCTACTTTGAAATCGAACAAGTTTTAAATCACAAACGCCTGAAAACAAAATGAAATATTTTGGTGAGATAAACCAAAAACAATTTTTTTATTTCAAGTCACCCCAAAATAATTTTTGTTTAGCTATTTTTGGCTTTGGCCTCTAAGCTAAAAAAAATCCATTTTCCACATAGCACTGCTCAGAAACCAGTATAAGAAAGTTGCAGAGCTGAACTTACCAGTGAGAAGGATCAGCTTCGCCATCTTTGCCCGTGTGCTGATCCAGTGCTGCCTCTTTCTGATTTTTATACCTTATGCTTCCCTTGCTTGCGTGTTTTTTTTCCATATCACAAAGGACATGTGAAGATTGCAGTATTTGATGAAGATAAGCATCATATAACACACTAAAAACTACATGCAGGTACAATGGACCTGCTTACGAACCCAGGTCAAAGAAAACAGTGTTATCAATCTTTCTACTTAAGGTGTAGCTGGGCCACAGGTAGAAATGGGTTGTAACGATAGTGTCATTTGGGAAGTTGGTTCTGCTGATAGGTTTAGTGTTATGTTATAGATTGCAGAGTAATGTATGTGTTTGCTATATAAACTGCTCATTGTGATGCTATGTGTACAGTGGTGGCAAATGCATAATATAATGGGCTTCGACAAGGATTTGGTCACCTTCGTGAAGGGAGGTTGTTATGATTCGAGGAGGAAACCTGGATAGGAGTGCTACTGGCAGGACTTCAGCTAATCAGGTGGTAGAGAAATGAGTTGCCATAGCCATGTGCATATCCTGGAATTGGATGATGCTTTTCTAATGAAGCCTAGAACTAAGAAGGACTCACGGGACAAGAGCAAACAGTCCTCCCACAGGATCATCAAACCTTGGGGAAGCCTGGGCTTGACTGTCACAAGACAACAGTAAAAAAGACCTTTTTAAGTTGATCTGAGATTTGCTTTCAGTAATCACAGCCATAAAATGCTATTCCAGCTCAGTGAAGGCCGTCGTGAAGAGTGAAGTGGCTTAGCGCATTTGAGGATCCAAGGCTTGGGGTCTCTTCCTCTGCTCAGTTGGACTGCGCAAGGCCAGAATAACTTCAGTGAAATCAAGGGAGCCACCTTCCTGCCAAACTGGTGGAAAGCCTAGATGAATGAGGCCCTTGCTATCCAGACCTAGGGTTTGTCTTTAGGCTAAATATGCCAGAAAGTCTTGTTTTGAAATAAATATGTTCCTGAGCCTGCTTTGGATGTGGCAGGGCAAAGTAAAAGTGAATGGTATGCCGTTCTGCCGACACAGTTCAGTGTTATTTTTGAAAGCCAGCTACTAGCAATGAGAGGGGACCATTCAGGGAAGGCACTAACGAGAAAGAAACATGATGATGATGCTACACATATTCTCCTTCCTCATCACACGTGTGCTGAATGTAGTGCTCTCTAGGTCCCTACACATTGCAGCCTGCTCCTAGACAGGATAAAGTCACCTCATAGCAGAAACTGAAGCACTCCATCCTTGCTCTTGCTGTTCCAAGCAGCCAGAATGCATTTTTCATGTGAAACTGTCCCTGAAAAATGCTCATTTTGAATGACTGAACACCAGGTGAATCCAGGTAGAATTGGTCAGCTTGTTGTGTCTAAGAAAACCTGAAAAAATCCCCTGGAAATGTTTTTAATATTTCATGTTGATGCGTTTCACAATGGTGCGGATGTTTTATGTTGTAAGAATGTGGGTTTTTAAAAATGAAAATGTGTCTAAGCGTGCTATAAATATGGTTAGAAAGTGTTAAAAATGAAAAGCTTAATTGGAGAGTGAATTTTGTTCTTTAGCTTTTTGTTTCAGTGGGAAAATTCCAATTTTTCTTTTTGGTTGCCGTGAAGCATGGATTATTTGCAGAGCTCTAATTGGACATATTTACTTATATTTGTGAAAATGATGGTGGAAAAATATAGTCTGGAAACACTGAAGCTCTATGGCAAGAAACATTTTATAGTTTCTGTTAGAAGGAAAGGAAGAAGAATTACCACCAGGTAACCTAGACTACGTCCATGAGACCCTGAGGAGCAAATACCAAGGTCATTTCAAAGTAGCTTGCATCTCATACCACTCGAGAGTAGATTAATATGACCTAGGTGATCCTCTGGAATTATTTTTATATAGTGGATGAGATATGGCAGAGCATTAAAGAAAGCAGAGCTCTCTGGAAAAAAAATTCCATCATGTTCCTTGAGTGATATGATAACAAAAGCAGTGCAAAGGACATTGGAAAATCTCAGCCTTAATGACCTTAGTTGTTTCATAGAGGTACTTTCATATTGTTGTTGAGAAGATTGCAGTGGAGGAGTCAAGGTAGCCAGTCTGCGTGCTATTGCTCCTGCTATAAAAAGGATTAGAAATGAGTAGCGTTGGCTCCCATAATGGGGTTCACTAGTGCAGAGCACAAATGAGCCAGTGGTTGAATTTCCAGATCCAGATGAAGATCTCTGCTGCCCCATCCAAGAAGGAGACACTAATATCATCTGTTTTGGAAATGACACGACATAGGGAATTCCTGTCCAGTAGGGCTGTGCAAAATTTCACCACCAGTTTTGCTGTTTTGACCTGTTTTGAGGTCGAAGCAGCAAAATCGAAATGGAACAAGATATGGTCAAAACAGCCTCGAAACAAAACGAGGCAAGTCAAAATGTTTCCCCTTTTCACCCGTAGGTTATAATGGGGAAGGTCAAAAACAGTCTATAACTTTGTCATTTCTGACCAGATTTGGATAAAACTTGCAGAAATGGTAGCCCCTTCTGAGGGCATAAAGCAGGCCAAGTTTCAAGAAGATCGGTGGAGGGGTTCAGGGGGGAACTGGCATGCTTTGTGGCCTGAGCAGGGGCCACCACCCCTGCAGTTTTCAGCCTGTTGCACCTTAACACACACAGTGTCACCCGTGTCACGAGTTTTGCCTGTCAGCAGCTTGACGTGCAGTTCTCCCCAAACCCCTGCACCTATCACCTTGAAACTTGGCAGGCTTTGTGGCCTCCGCAGGGGCCACTACCCCTGCAGTTTTGACCCCACTGTGGCTCAACACACATACGTGTGACATGAGTTCTGCTTTCAGGATTTTGGGGTGCAGTTTCTCTGAACCCCCTGTACCTATCGCCTTGAAACTTGGCAGGCTCGGTGACCTCAGTAGGGGTACCATCCCTGCAGTTTTAACCTCACTATGGCTTAACACATACAAGTGACATGAGATTTTCTCTCAAGACTTTGGGGTGCAGTTTCTCTGAACTCCCTCCATCTATCTTCTTGATACTTGGCACGCTTTATGCGCTCAGAAGGGGCTACCATTTCTGCAAGTTTTGTCCAAATCTGGCCAGAAACAGAAAGCTATAGCCTCTCTTGACCTTTCCCATTATATCCTATGGGCGAAACGTCGAAACAGGGTTGAAACGGCAAAATGTTTCGACGGAACGAAATGGAACAGCCGTTTTGACTTGAAACTCAAGCCAAAACAAAACACTTTTCTGTCAAAATGTCGAAACGCTGGTTGAAACGAAATGCTTCCATTTCACACAGCCTTACTGTCCAGCTGTTCATCCACTGTCACCCCCAAGTCTTTTTCAGCATGCTGTTTCTTGGGGTAATCCCTCCCCCGGGACATCTGGCCTGCACTCTGTTTCTGGACACGTTACGCTGGGAAACATACTGCTTGCTTGTGCCCAGCTCATCAAGCAGTCTACATCAGTGGTCTGTCTTGCTTGTTACCGCTCTCCCAGTTTTTGTGTTGTCTACAAACTTTATCAATAAGAGTTTTATACTTTCTTCCAGACCCTTGATTCAAATAGTAAGTAGCCGAACCCAGGGCCGGATTGACACTTTAGTGGGCCCTAGGCAAACTCGTGGGCCCCCAGGTGAAGATGAAATCTTTCTTACTTTTTTTTCCACTCAATAATTATAATATGTAAAATATGCACAACTTTGTCACTTAGGCAAACAAGGTACATGCCCAGGGCCCTATGCGTTAATTCAGCCCTGGCTGAACCAATCACTGTGGGACCCCGCTACAGACTCAGCCACTCCATGATGATTTCTCTTGCTGAGACCAATTGGATTTAAAGCCACTTAATGCACGATGGAGTGATTTTCTATCATTCCAGGTTCTTAATCAAAATGTCACATGGTACCAATATTACTGCTTTACAGAGATCTTAAAGGTTTAGCATCAACAGTATAAACTTACCAACTAAACTTGTTATCTTATTAAAAAAACACTTGAAATTGAGCTCTGGACCTGAATGTTGTGGGTCCCGTTTCTGTTGGTTTGTAAGCTCTTCAAGGCAAGAGCTAAGAGTGTGTTCCTCAGTCTAATCCTTCAAGTGGAATTAATCTGTGTATCTCCACTGAAGTCAACGGGGTTATGACCACTCATACTTAGCTAAGGCTATTCCACATGGTGGTCTATAAGTAATAAAGCAAAATCAGCTGGTGACTTGACCAGGTTCATTTGTTTCCCCATCAATTAACTCTCCCAATACCAACATCTTCCAGCTGGTAGAGTTGCCATAGCCATGTGCGTATACTGGGATTGGATGATGCTTTTCTAATGAAGCCTAGAGCGAAGAGGAACTCCTAGGACAAGAGCCAAATGGTCCCCCCACAGGATTATCAAACCTTGGGGGAGCCTGGGCCTGACTGTCACAAGACAACAGTAAAAAAAATACCCTTTTCAAATTGATCTGAGATTTGCTTTCAGTTTTCAAGACCACCTGCAACCTTAGCTCTGGTAGGAAACCCATGTAATGCAAAATCAAAGACAGGGTTTCCCCTGGAGTTCTTTGGAGCAAGAAAACTGAGTTTAGTTTCTCTGGGTTCCACTGTCACATGTATCAGTGTTGTTCATATCAAGACTGTGATGTCTTGCCATATTACAGCATACCAGCAGGAGAACAAGGTGATTTATTGCCAGCTAGGTTAGGAGGATAGCCTGAGTCTTAAGAGACCCAGGTTCTGTCCCCTGCTGTACTGTGGATTGCTATGAAATAGCAGACATGTCACTTAGGGCCAGAAAGTCCCAGGTAGGACTTAGGTACAGTTTAGGTGCTTAAGTCACAAAATGACCTCTGTTGGCCCTGAAAAGTTTCCCAGACACTAGAACTTCAGTTTCTGTATATATGTACCCAGCAATCACCATAGTTAGGATAATAACTATGAGGAGGCTATTCCTCAGTGCTATTACTTGGGACATAGTAGTGCTGTTTAAAATCAACTCCTTGGACTGTGGTGCTCCTGCTGACAATCATTCATCATTGTAAAGACACTGCTTCTGTATCGCTGCATACTGCTATTGTTCACAGGCTCCCAAAGAGAAGTCTGCATAGGTCAGTAGTTGTGCTCCTGGCAAGTGGTGGGTCATAGAGACCCAACTAGAAAATGACTGAACAGTGGGGCTCATCCCCAAGAGACATGGATGCACATGCTGGTGACTGGAAAGAGCTGCACTCTGGGGACTGGAAAAGGTTCGCTCCAGGAAAAGGAGTGGCCACACATCCAGGGACCACCACAGACTTTTAAGCCCGTTATGCTGTGCTCAGGGACAGGGAAGCCAGTGGGATTAGTCACTAAATTGACAATATCCCACAATTGCCTAGTAATACTTAATTGAGCTTGGGTTTAGGTTCCAGGTCTCTTGGGAACTCTCACTCTTGAATTAGGATGTGGAATCCAAATCCCCTCAGGCCTGAAGCTACTGATGTTCAGTGGTTAAATCCAGGTCTACCCTTTTCCAAGTGTAACCTCCACCAAAGCACACAGCACTGTGGTAGAAGGGAGCAATGAAACCCAGATGAATAAGAAGACCACAAGGTAAACAGCTGCTGATTTTGCTGAATGCTTTATTTTATTTTCTATTTACTCTAATCTCAGTCAGATTGGACCGGTTACTTTTTTTATCCCTGCTCTGTTCATGCCCAGTTGCAGCAGGAGCAGCTGGTATCAAAAACGAGACCAGCGCTGCAGTTCTCTTGGAAGGTTTCCCCATTCACGCAGTTGTAGAAGCTGTTCTTGTTGGTGGGGTCTGGGTAGAGGCCACTGGCTTTGCCGACACAGAAGCCACTGCCTCCAGAGCCGCTGCCTGGGTTTCCACCAGAGCTGCCACTGCCGCTGCCGCTGCCGCTACCGCTGGCACTAGTACTGGGAGGCTTGGTGACCGGAGGAAGGGGCTGAGCTGGGGGCTTGCAGGCTGAAAGAAAAGGAGACATGGTTTAACCTTAGTCGGGCCATGTTTGTGCTTGGTTCAAGAGAGCTGGTCTATCCGTGTGTGAACCTAACTGGATATCTACCTAACTTCCCACAGACCTATCTGTGCATACATGGATAACTAAGCCACTGATTTTAATTCCTAAATTTGTACTGCCTAAGGTCTGAATAAGTTCAGATCTAGGTTTCTGACTCTTGGAATCATATATAAATAGGGTAGATGGGGCTGCAAGAGGGAATCTAGTCCAACCCCCCGTTCAAGACAGTTTCTTCTCTGTTTAGTAGGAAGATCCACCATAATGATGAATCCAGGCTACGGTGTTCAGATCTGGATCCTGTGTCAAGTCCTAAGCATCCAAAAGCTTATTCAGAGGCAGATCTTTGCCTCTGGCTGGGCTCTAGCTAAGGTTTCCACAGGGAGTCTTTAACATCCATGCTCTGATGTTCAATTCAGTCGCAGTGCTCTTTAGCACTACATCTCAGTGCTGATCTGCAATGACTCCAATCCTAAATCCCCACCCACATTACACTATTATAACCTCTCAGCTCTGCGGGAGGACAAACTCCTTGTATGCTAATCTCAGCTCTTTCAAACCCAGCATTTCTCTGCCAGTTCATCTCTGTCCTCACCTGCACCACGTTCTATGCGCCAATCCCGTGTCCTCCACACAGTTCAACTGGGGCGTCTCAGCCTTGACTCAGCTCTGTGAGCTCCTATCTAATCCTAATCATGTTGAGCTACAAAATGTTCTTAATTTTTGACAATATCTCATAAAAATAAAAAATGTGTCACCTGATACTTAACTGAATTTGACCTGAGCTGTGTCTCAGAGGATGAAAAGTTTTTTGGAGTGATTCTCTCATGCCATGTAAAGACTGACTTTACACCTAAGCGTCTGACATGTGCACAGAGAAGCTGGATAGAAGGGCTCTAAAATAAAGAGCTTTGGATGCTCCCTGATTTAATTTACTATTCTTGAGTATGTGGTGGTCATGGGTCCCACTGTATCAGATTGAGAAGAACATTTATACACCTCTTCTTGCCCTTCATTTCTTATCTAGATCTTGGGAGAATCCTGTAATTCCTGGAGCTACTCACTAGAGCTCTGCAGTCCCAGACCGGTCTTCAGGGTGGTGATCAAGGGGTATTTGCCCTCGCCGCAGAAAGTGCCAGTGAAGTCATCCAGGTCAAGGGACCAAACCACAGCACCTCCAAATCCGCTCTTCTTCAGCCATTCAATCTGTTAAGTGCCAGGACAGAAGCCAACATGAGTCCAGACAGTACTGTAAAATGAGCTGAAATAGCTCTGGTTAGATTACTGCAGAGAGTCCAGACTTACCTTGATCTCAAAGCTCTTCTGGTTGTCATAGCCCAACCACTCATCACCCTTGTAAGCATAGGGCACATCCTGAGGGGTGTACCAAACCTGGGTGGCTCCATTCTTCAGGAAGGTGCAGATCTAAGAAAAGGGGAAGGCATGAGGATTTAAGACGTGATATGTAAAGCACAACTTCAACCCATTACACCTCCTGTGAGGTCTCTGTGGGTGTTTGCGGTTCATTGTTGATGGAGCACACACCTCATAGTAAGCCAGGAAGCCAGACTGTCTTGTGTATGGTCCAGCAGGCCCAGGTCCATTTATTGGGGCGCCAACGGCGGTGTTGGAGGCATCTCTCAGCATGAAGGTGTGTCCGTAGGTTGGGAATCCAACAACGAGCTTCTCAGCGGGGGCACCATTGCTCTTCCAGTAGTTCATAGCATAGTCCTGTAAAACAACAGGTGAGTCCAGACCTCTGCAGAGATTTGTCCAATGACACACCAGAGCTCACCCCTCTGTATGTCTTCAGGGCTGCCTCATTGCAACCTCTATTGGTCCGAGTCCCCAAGCTCTCAAGATGCACTTACCACATTGAAGTAGACATAGCTGCCTTTGTCAGCTGGTCCTTGGTAGAGAGGGCTGTTCTCTCCAGTGAATCCTTCCCAAGAGCCATGGAAGTCATATGTCATCACATGGAAGTAGTCAAGGTACCTGTTGGGGAGCAGTGTGAATATCAATCTCCAGTTCTTTTTAACCCTTGGAACAGCTCATTGCCCCTTTAGTGCTGTCTCTATGGGGTAATACAGGTCATACTCCCACTTCCTGCTTTCTGGAGTCCTGCATGCACATCTTCCTCACCAAGCTTCCCGCGTAACAACTTTGTCCTCCTCTGGGCTTTGGACACCCCTGCAATGGGCTGAGATTTAAACTCTAGTGCTGAGGAATGCTACAACCAGGTGGTAGAGCACAGATCTTCACAGGGACAGTGCACCGACAAGACCAGGGGCTAGATCTGTCCCATCTCGCATCAGAGATGCACTCTTGCCTTCTACTAGATGACAGTGTTATAAAACCAGGTTGAATTCTGGCCTATGGGCCCATGCTGTGGAGATGCTATGCACCTGGTATTTGTTGTTCATGGAGAAAAGTGCACAGTATTACTAGAAGGCAGATGACACCACCATGTGAAAGCAGAGTACTCACTGGCCCAGCTCAGCAATCTGGTAGCCAGCCTCGATGTTGGAAAGCCCTGCAGCAACAGCAGCGGTGACCAGGAGTCTTGGTTTGTTAACTTTCTTGGCTTCTTGCTCGAAGGCTTCCAGCAATTCCTAAGGAAAGGCAAGGACACACTTAGCTGTTGGAAACCCCCAGACTGAGACTCCTGCACCCTGACCTTTCTAAATAGAGGGGGCTCAGGCAGCCTGGACTCCCTTCCCCTATCTCCAATTCACATTCTTGAGGACCTGCACAACCTTTCCAACCAAAAGAAAGCTGTCTGCATGCAGGGAGATGAGCTGGAGTGGGGAGGAACTCGGGACATTTGATTGCCCACGGGAGGAAGCTTTTTAGCCCTCCACTGATGAAACTCCATATATATATATATATATATATATTGTATCATAGTGAATTATGCTGCCCTGAAATTGAGGCGATACCTTTCCTGCTGGTACTCGCATGAAAAGGAGGTAGGTTTCTTATCTGAAATCAGCAGATTTCTTTGACTCCAGGTTATTTCTGATCTAGCCAGCAAAGGGTTTTTTGCCTGCTGTGGGTTATGTAGTTGGCCATTCCAAGTGATCTTCCAACTGGCGACCCCTCAGCAAATACTTAGTTTCCTCCTTACCTTAACCAGCACGGTGAAGAGTTCCTTGTCCACAGAAGGGCTGCCTCTGGAGCCAGGGTATTCCCAGTCAATGTCCAGCCCATCAAATTCATACTCGCGCAGGAAACTGATAACGGAGTTAATGAAGGTCTGGCGGTTGGCAGAACTGGCCACCATGGCTGTGAATCTAGGGAAGCAGGGGAGACGAGAGTCAGGGGAAGTGGCTGCTGGTTGTTTCCTGCAGTCGCAGCCATAGGAGGATGCAACCAGGGGAAGGGGATGGTTTGGGCTTACGGTGCTGTTCCAAAATTCCAGCCTCCGATGGACAGGAGAGTCTTCAGCTCGGAGTTCCTGGAAAAGAAGCGTAAAGCATGAGTTTCCGAGCAAAATAAATATATCAGAGCCTCTTTTGCATCTCATTGGATGGACTGATACAAATGATTACATTCATGCGGCACTTAAAATGTAGTGCCTGTACTACCCACCTTGGACTGTATTCCCCTTCGTTATGTGGCACGAGGGCAAAGCTAGCTGTAATTTTAAGTGCATAGTCACTCAATGCAGGTAACCTGATGTACTCTCATCTTCACTGTCTGCCCCTTCTTGCTTTTCATGGAGAAAAGCTCTTGCTCTAGACTTGCAAGCTGTGTTTGGCAGGAAGGGGCAGAGAGATGTATTGTGCACAGTGCTTTAGCTTTGGCTCATTATGGTACAGGAAGAGATGAACTCCAGTGATCAGTAGGTGGGTAGTATTAGTCTGTACAGGAGAGCTGTTTTTTTTAATTTTTAACTTGTAGTTGGAAGCAGGGCAATGGATTCCCCTCTATTCTAGATACCTACTGGTTTTTCAGGTCATTGAAAGATTTGTAAAGGGTCACGTCATTCCACTCGATGGTTGCAATCTCATTGTTGGTCATTCCAGCAAAGGCATAGAGCAGGTGAGTACACAGGCATGGGTCAATGTCCTTTGGGAAGTATTTCCCTGGGCTAGGTCTATATTGGCCCCAGTTGGTGAAATAGCATGAAAGCACATAGGCAGAGCC